AAACCCAGTTCCAAACCAGTTCTAAACCAGGTCTAAACCAGGACTAAAACCAGGACTAAACCAGGACTAAAACCAGGTCTAAACCCAGTTCCAAACCAGTTCTAAACCTGGTCTAAACCAGGTCTAAAACCAGGTCTAAACCAGGACTAACCAGGACTAAAACCAGGTCTAACCCAGTTCCAAACCAGTTCTAAACCTGGTCTAAACCAGGTCTAAACCAGTTCTAAACCGGGTCTAAACCAGGTCTAAAACCAGGTCTAAACCAGACTAAAACCAGGACTCAAGCAGGACTAAAACCAGGTCTAAACCCAGTTCCAAACCAGTTCTAAACCAGGTCTAAACCAGGACTAAACCAGGACTAAACCAGGACTAAACCAAACCCAAAACCACTTCTAAACCTGGTCTAAACCAGGTCTAAAACCAGGTCTAAACCAGGACTAAAACCAGGACTAAACCAGGACTAAAACAGGTCTAAACCCAGTTCCAAACCAGTTCTAAACCTGGTCTAAACCAGGTCTAAAACCAGGTCTAAACCAGGACTAAAACCAGGTCTAAACCCAGTTCCAAACCAGTTCTAAACCTGGTCTAAACCAGGTCTAAACCAGTTCTAAACCTGGTCTAAACCAGGTCTAAAACCAGGTCTAAACCAGGACTAAAACCAGGACTCAAGCAGGACTAAAACCAGGTCTAAACCCAGTTCCAAACCAGTTTTAAACCAGGTCTAAAACCAGGTCTAAACCAGGTCTAAACCAGGACTAAACCAGGACTAAACCAGGACTAAAACCAGGACTAAAACCAGGTCTAAACCAGGACTAAACCAGGACTAAAACCAGGTCTAAACCAGGTCTAAACCAGGTCTAAAACCAGGTCTAAACCAGGACTAAAACCAGGACTAAACCAGGACTAAAACCAGGTCTAAACCCAGTTCCAAACCAGTTTTAAACCAGGTCTAAACCAGGATTTAACAGGACTAAATCCTGCTGTGTGGACGTGTTTCTTCTTCTTCTATCAATAATATTTTTAATTTGGTTCAGTAAAGTCTGGACTTTTTATTTTCTTTTAGCAGATAAAACATCTGATGTGAAGATTTCCTCGTCTTTGTTTCTCTACAGCAAATCAAGTAATCCAAAGTAATCAGATTACATTACTCACTTTAAGTAATTTAATGGATTCTGTTACAAACTACATTTTTGTGTGGTAATCTGTAATCTGTAAATCTGTAATACTGTGTAGGGGAAAAGTAACACAATGCACTTTTAAATCAGTTTTATTTTTAATTTAGCAAAAATGTATTAAATCCCTGTACGCAAATGAACGAAAAATAAAAACGAACTGACATAAAAAAAAAAAAAATAAACACATTTTTGAATAAACTAAATGAACAAATAACATGAAGGTAAAAGGAGCTGTTCACTTGAAAACTACCACTTCATGACATCACGAGGTGGAACAGAGCGTTTTGAGCTTTGGAGACGTAAACTGACTCATAATAAAGAATTACTCAAACATGAATGAAACAAAACACGAGTCCAGGTCTGTTTTTGAGGATGATTTAAAGCTTTAAAAAAGTAAATTCTGTGAGTTTTGAACATTTCTGCACAAAAAATGAATCAGAAAATAGTTTGATTCATTGCTGCAAAAATCTGGTAACAGGATTAAAATCGTACTAGAAAAACAGAATTAAATACATTTGCACTTTTCACACACAGTTACCGAAAAAACACTGAACCTGAATATTTGACCGACAAACAAAGGAAACCAAAACGCTGTCCTGTCAGTGTTTGTTCAAATTAAGTCCAACTTCCTCATATTATTTACCAAACTGGAAAACCCAAAGATGAATTGTGTGTTGTGCAAAGGCCTGTCGCTGTCAGCACAGAGGACTGAACACAACTGTGGTTTTCTATGGACATTTACTGTAGGTGTTGAACAACTGATCTTTCATTCATTTATTGCATTTGATTTAATTACTTTTAAAAGTTATGCAAACGAAGATGCATAAATCCAAAGGCCTTTCGTTGTCAGCAAACACAGAGCAGTAAATAAGATCTAAACCAGGTCTAAACCAGGTCTAAACCAGGTCTAAACCAGGTCTAAACCAGGTCTAAACCAGGTCTAAACCAGGACTAAAACCAGTAAAACCAGGTCTAAACTAGATCTAAACCAGGACTAAAACCAGGTCTAAACTAGATCTAAACTAGATCTAAACCAGGTCTAAACCAGGTCTAAACCAGGACAAAAACCAGGTCTAAACTAGATCTAAACTAGATCTAAACCAGGTCTAAACCAGGACTAAAACCAGGTCTAAACTAGATCTAAACTAGATATAAACCAGGTCTAAACCAGGGACTAAAACAGGTCTAAACCAGGACTAAAACCAGGTCTAAACTAGATCTAAACCAGGTCTAAACCAGATCTAAACCAGGACTAAAACCAGGTCTAAAATCAGGTCTAAACTAGATCTAAACCAGGTCTAAACCAGGACTAAACCAGGACTAAA